CCACGCATCCGCAGGATCTCAACGGCTACGTCTCTCCAGCCTTGTGTCCCGCGCCCACCCCATCCGCAACTACACCTTTCCACCTTCAGCCATTGAGCGAGCGCTTGCTCAATTAGCCCAGCTGATGCCCAAAAAGGGCACGACCTGCGTGATTGCTACCGCCTGGTCCGAGGAAAGTTGAAACTTTTGAGCTTCGTACCGCAAGCGGACATCTATCTTACTTGGCTTGTTCTTGTGTGCCCGTTGGTCATGTGCCGTTACCCATGCCACCTGCCCCACGGCCTTGAACCATGTTTGGACGCACCCCATAATTTTCAGTGTGCGCCGGTCTCGGCCTCTTGTGTGTGCCAACTCCTGTGCCAAAGGAAAAAGACCACATAGCAATTGCCCATAGTTCAAGCACTGACGCTCCATGTACACTAAGCAGGGGGTCCAGGCAGTTGCGAGTTGTCCCTGGACCAACGAAGACGGACTCAGAACTGGTGAAGCGAGAAGGAACGCCTTCTAGTGTACCTGCCAGAAGTTTATTTATTCCTAAAGTGCTAAAGCGTTTTGTTGAAACCTTCTGTTTGACCGACCCAGCACTTCCTGCAGTTGATTCAAGTCAAGGTCTAATTGAGTGTAAAGGTCTACTTGCGGTAATCCGGAATTTCACCAACTGATATCGCACTTGCGAGCCATGATCTAAGTGTGTGTGTGTCGCCGTGCTTAGATCGCAAATAGTACAAACCACACTCTCAAGGCCGAAGCCAGAACAAAAATGCAGCCGTCCAGCCTCGCGATGTCGGAAGATACCTCGATCCTAAGCTTTGAGAATAGTCTGACTCAGTTGAGGAATGAAATTGGTTGAACACAGCGTAATGGCGGCCTGGCGAAACTCTGTCAGCCAAAAACAAGCGTGCGAAAGAACTAGTGCCCAGGTTGTCACGCGGTTTAAAATCTGTTTAAAAACCGCAAAAGAAAGACAAACAGTCTGTCGCAAACGCCAGGCACTTTTGATGTCAACATGAGAATGCAGGCCCTGAGCCCCCGGCCTTCTTCTGACCCTGCAGATTCTGGTGATGGGGATGGATAGTAAGAAGCCGAAGCTGCTGTGCTAGTCCCTCCTCCGCAATATGTTCGATTGGTTCGGTCCCCTATAGCCCCTGGAGTGGTGCGTTCTGGGCTCAATGATGTCTGGCGACCAATCACATCCGGAATGTTGCCTCTCCGTGGGCTTCTGGAGATCGGATTTAGCAGCGAGGGGCTGTGCGTCTCCGGCGGCAGGAACTTTGGAGGGCCTTTCTTCCGCTCACGGCCTGAAGAAGGTATTGGAAGTGTCAAGGCATTGGGCTTCCCAATCATCTGTGCTGGGCTGATGGGCGGGGAGTCATCATTGCGTGGACTGGCTGGCAACGACTTCCCAAATGCTGCGGCCGGTGTCGGCGTTTGGGCTGGTGTAAGGGCACCCGCCCCCTCGAGAGTATCATGGCCCATGACTTCATAGACAGCTGTAGTCTCTTGACGGCCCTTGACCTGAGACAGTTCATCTCCACACACTTTAAGGAACCTAACAGCCATGGCCTCCGACCTAATGGCAATGACCTCCACCCTAATAGCAATGGCCTCCAACCTACAGTAATAGGGATGGCCTCCAACCTAGAAGCGATGGCCTCCAACCTAGTGTTAGGATGACACGAGTGGTGTTGGGGTGCCTTCAACGATGCAGGTCCCACTATGACTGAATGCAAGCCCCTGCACACATCAACCGCTGCCAAGCTGCTTGCAAGTGGTCAACCTTTCGGCAGACCAAGGATGTCGTTGCCATCCAGGTCTCTTCAGAACACATGACATCCACATCATAGAACTTGCAAAGGCCTGGAGTCAAAACTTTAGTGCAATGTATTTTAGCCTGTCTGCTTGTCAAAGACACCAGCCTTGCAATCGACTTGTCAAATTCATGGCGTCGCCGATGCAGCCAAACCTTCTTCCGGGCAAACTGCGGGAACAAGGATCCGTACCGGCTATCTGTCCGCTACCCATACCGACTCGAAGACAATCAAACGCCGCAACTCGACCCAAAAATTTTACAAGAAAATGGAACCCTACTTCAACGTGCTCCCTTGTAAAACAACCGCGATACTTCGTACAGGTCTGGTCTGTTTGCGTGGCCGCGTGTCTTGGCCATGTGTCACTGCTTCGGAATCTTTTTTGTAACTTGTGTTGTGCGGCGTGCCCCTTCTGTGATGCATTCCCTGCTAGTTTTGCAGTGACAAGGCGCTTCATCTTCATTGTGCTGCCAATGCATCCGACCAAGACGTTCCCGGTGTGGATGCCCACGCCCAGGCGCAGGAAGGCGTCTGAGCGTTGACAAAAAAGAACAAGTACATATCAGAGTCAACCAGCACGAATTGACAGTTCCCCGAGCAAGGATAGTCGGACAAAGATATCAGCAGGGCCGTGAGCTTTGGTTGAAACAGGAAAAATGTCGCGAACCCACGGACAAGCGAGGGCCTGAAGGGTCTAGCCAGCCATCATCCACCAGCTCTTGCCGCAAGGTGTTCATGGCCTTTGGGCATGTTGCATCGTCAAGTCATGCTCAATACATGCTGGGGAACATGCACCCCGTGGCTGCAAAGCTTTATTGATGATTTGCACAATTACACTGGCAGGTACGGAGCGGCTCGAGTCATCCTGGCAATTCTGATGACAACCTTTGCATGTACGACCCGAAGCATGAACGGAAACATACACGTCCAGTGATTACATGTGCAGTGCCACGGCACCTGACGCTGAGCAAGTCCAGCTTCACAGGCTCTGGACGCATGATCTGTGACCAATCCTGAGTGGCCAAAACCTGTCTTAGAAAACATAGCTTGGTATAACTTGGGCACGGTTGAACTCATCGCAAAGAATTCACGCTATGATAGGACAACATTATGGTCTGATTGCTTTTCCGAGTGTCTTGGGGCATTGAAGTAGACCAACAGGCCTTCGTCCAAAATCTCTCCTGAGCAGCACGCAAAAGTAAAGTACGTGAAGCACGTTTCTCGGGCAAGCACATCATGTGGAACTCTCGGGGTTGGCACGCAACTCAAGTAAGTAATTTGGTTCATGCCGCGTTTCCAACCGTGCCCTCGTACTGCTCCACGATTGATGTCATGATCTTGTGGAACCTTGCAACTGCCAGTCTGCGCAAAATGAGAAGGGTTTGCTGCACGGTGCTCTGGTGCTGTTACAAATTGAACACACTCCTGGGTCTGCGCACCTTGTGATCACACTCAGCATCTGCTCTTCATTCAGTGACATTCTTATGATGTCACGGATTCCTGTGAACATGACTGTAACCTCGGTCACAAACACTCTCGTCAGCTCTAAGCTTGAGCAGTCCGGTCGGATAGCACTAACAAAAATCGAGCTATATACATGCTTATAGACCTCGCCTTCGAAACCTAAAGAACCCTTTGCGGTGGACATCATGTGTTGGACAAGTTGACGTTGAAACGCATCATGGCAATCCAAAATGATCCCCCCCCAAAAAAATAAATATATATATATATATACACGTGTGTGTGTGTGTATAGCCCGTAACTACTCCCGGGAAGGTCAAACGGTTGGAGGCCGTGTCGGCCATGTGCCAGCTGTGTGCTTCGTGATGTGCTCGATGGTTTAGGCCCATTTGAGCAGGAAGCCTTGAATTTAATTTTGTCCCGCTGACTTCGGTGCCAGCGTTCATGGTTGACCTGAGATTGTGAGCACGCAAAGAGCCATTTAGAACAGTTCGGCTTTCCGGATTACTAAACATACTTACAGGAGTATATATATATAGTGCAAAGTTTCAGTGAATTTCTTGATCTCTGTTTCTGCTTTTTGTTGTCAAGGGCACGATCCACAAAAAGAAATCGAACAATGGATGGATCTGGCTGTCATCGTCCAGAGTGTGATCCCATGCTATTCCTCAAGAAAGAGCGGACTTTCCCGCATCCATTGTCGTTCTTTTGTGGCACCCCTTCCAGATCAGTATTCTTATGTTCACTGCAGCACCGCCAAAACTAATGCACCTCACCTTGCGAAAGTTTCTGGCTGTGCACTTTCGCTATCGAACTACCGAACGCCATTCCAAGTGCCTCCAAGTATAACATGCAAGTATGCTAATAATCAACTTACAGTAGTAGCTTATAGGCACTCCTTGCAATCACCAATGGTCACCAATGGCCTAGAACAACCATCCAGTTCGGTGGAGCTAAGAAGATTGGAACAAGAAAAAGACTATGATTTGTGCACAGACCGGCGAACGCGGCTTATGAGGGTTGAAAGGAAGCTAGGGATGTGCCCACGCTGCCTGCCTCCAACTCTTGGTTGCTCAAAACAATCTACGGTTGGAATGTTGTGCAGATCCAACCAAGAAGCATTGCGGCTGTCCACATGCGGCCGGATTGACCGCGGCTCCCCATAAATGATTCTCTTTACGACTTCCTCAAGTCAAAGCGATTGTCGCTCAACCGCTCAAGGTGCACATTCATTGACATCCAATCATCACACTGTAGCTGGCCATCCACTCTTCTGCTTTCCCGCCCAGAATCGTGTGGTGCATGTTTTGCCAAGATTCCTCTGGAATAAATAAAGAGAAAGCCCGAATGCCCGAGGCGAGGTTTCCTTGGCATTGCAAGAACCATGGAACACTGTGGTACAAACCCGAGGCTACACCTCCAATCTTATTACAGTACAATAGATCCTATGTCTAGCTCAATTCCGCTGCTTCTGAAGCATATCAAAGGTTTGTCATGAGACATTGGTCATGAGGCCATCCTTTTTTCTTGGCTGGTTGCTTTGGGCTGCGGCGCTGGTTGCTGACTTGTTCGCCCTAATCTCTTTTCCATCCACGACTGCAGAATTTTGCTGTGTCCTTGCACCAACCTCACCAGTCAAATGGTACTGATACCACCAGTTGAAGGAAAACCCGCTGCACTAATGCACAACCGACATGTAGGTGGTTGAAAGGTCATGTGCAAACAGTTTGCCATGCCGTCACGATGCAAGGGCCAGCAAAGTCGACTGGCTTCTGGACCAGAGCGCCGCTTCATCACTTCCAGCTAGGAGAAAAAAACACAGTCCAATAATGATATTTATTTTTGCTAACACTTCCAGCACAGCACTATTGGAAACTTGTCTTGAACAAAACACTTTCAACTTGGTGGCCAAGGTCACCAAGCCACCTGGATAGGAGCTAGGCCGCCTAGGCCCCAGGGGCCTTTAGGCGACTACGTGTGACTACGCCACCTCACGCATCCAACCATGTGGGTCAGGTTCATCACCAGTCTGGATGGCCCGAAGCTTGTTGTACAGTTTGGTGAGAACTTCTGATGGCCTTGATTCGGAAACTAGGAGTCCACTGCGAAAGTATGGCGTTTAAAGCAAAAACAACACAAACAAACAAATAAAACAAACAAAACAATGCTTCTAGAAGACTCACCCATCGTGGGAATCAGCTTGGTGGCATCCAAAATGCGACCAAATGTGAAACGACAATGCTTCGACCATGCTTCGATACTTTTGGTGTTTCAGGGGCATTGCGATCGCACAAATAAAAACCGTGGAGTTGAATTCTGATGGCCATGTCGAATGGCATGCTGCTTCCGTGGAGCGCTGAGGCAGGTTGCTGATTGGGTCGGGACTTGCCAGGACGATCAAATTGTGAGTGCATACAAAACTGCGCAGTGGTGGGAAATCGATTGGCAGACCCACAAGCACAATTACAACATGGGCGATATCACAGACTGGCCTGTGGATGCTTCTTGCATCTGCCGCAACGGCACTGTGACAATGCTTGGAAGCATCAAGGCAGCTATCTCCTTGGATGAGGTGGACATGTCACAGCAATTGAAAGTGACGCACGTGGTCACGCTCTGCGGGCAAGAGTTGCCGGTGCGTGGCATGCCCATGAGCCTCAGCGAGTACTTGCGGATGCAGCATGTCAATTTGCACATAGAAAATCCAACAATCAAGCGCATGGCGCGCGAGATGCCCCGCATGCAGCAATACGCCGCCGCTTGTTTGACCGTGTGGAAACCTGGTCTGCAACGACTGTGGGCTGAGGCGGTGAACTATGAGGTTCTGGGCAAGCCCTTTGTCCCGCTCTTTCACTGCTTTGGTGGCATCAACCGAAGCTCTGCTGCGTTGTGTGCGTGGCTCATTCTGCGGCACGACTTGACTGTGGAAGAGGCTCTGATGCACCTGCTCTGCGCGTCCCAGTTTGAGGCCGTGGCGCAATCGCGCTTACGTTTTGTGGGCGCTGCGATCTTTGTACGAGCTACGCTCGACATGGCGCAGCGACTTCCAACAAAGCAAAAAAGCATCCATGGCAGTCGCTGATTGACATTAGCGGTTCTGTCTATGCTCTGTGGCTAGACTCAGACTGTGAAGTTGTCCGCCGCGTGGCTGTGAGGTCCAGACGCCAGGCCATGTCAACGGAAGCTGTCCGGGACATGGCCGATGGATGCCGATGGCGTAGAAGCAAAGGTCGCGCAATGAGGAACCCAAAAAGAGATCCACGTACATTGCACCGACATGCATGTCTGGCAATGGACCACTATTTAGTCATGGTCTGGTTCCAACCTTTGTGATACATTGCTACCCCCAAAAAATGTTACCATACATGTTACGGCCAAACGGTTCATCCCTCAGTTTCGTTTTCGTTTGCAACCCTTTCGTTATAATGCTTACTCCTACCATGCTTTCGGGCCACCGTGTCGTCTAGTGACCAACAGGAAGGGAGACACGACCCGAGACAAGGGAGACAGAAGGGAGATAAGGCGGACACAGTGACCAACAAGAAGGGAGACAAGAAGGGAGACAAAAGGAGACAGAAGGGAGACAAGGCGCACACAGTGACCAACAAGAAGGGAGACAAGACCGGAGACAAGAAGGGAGGCAAAAGGAGACAGAAGGGAGACAAGAAGGGAGACAAACGGAGACAGAAGGGAGACAAGGCGGACACAGTGACCAACAAGAAGGGAGACAAGAAGGGCAAAAGGAGAGAGAAGGGAGACAAGGCGGACACAGTGACCAACAAGAAGAGAGA